TTGGCACACCAGTCCAACTAGTTGTCACTGACAGTGAAGGCTCCGAGGCGACCACAGCAGCGGGGCACCAGCCAGAAGCTGCACTACCTGGCGGACACCAAGGACAGCCCGGACGTGAACAAGAACGAGACCCACCACGAGCCCTACTACCAGAAGGCGCCACGAGCTCCCAACACGGCCAGCAAGAGGGACAAGACCGACCACGAGCACCACTACCAGACCTCCGCCACCTGTACCAGCGGGAGGAGCCGACCCAGGACTACCCCAACGACGAGCTCTACCACAAGACAAAGGAGCCGCCAAGGCACCAGCACAAGACGATCCGGGACTACCACAAGAGAGAGCCCTACAAGAAGGCCAAACACTGGGGCAAGCACCGGGGACACCTGCCCCCTGGTCGACGCCCGTGCCAAGCGACGACTGCACCGAAGCACAGACGACGACACAGTGTGCACCTGACCGAGGAGGGGAACCAGCCCAAGGAAGCGTTACGGCTCTGTGCCCTCTGCCAGCGGCCGCCGTCGACGACACCACAAGGGCGACCCAAGACGACCTGGAAAGTGCTACGGTTCCGTGGCACGCACCATCGCCGGTGCATGGAGAACCCGACGAAGAGAGTGACCTGGGCACACCAGGAGTACCTCCTCAGCAGCCTTGGGGGCACCCGCCTGAAGACCTGAGCGAAGCTAGTGAAGCCAGTAGAGTGAGCCACCGAAGGCGCAGACTACTAGCAGCACTGGCCGACACCCCAATCGTGCACCCTCCTTCCTGCCTGACCAGGTAACTTGCACTTACTCCGTTTTTCTGCACGATTGGGGCACACCCTGGCGCGGCCCAGAGCTGGAGTAGAGGTTCAGGGTCGACTGGAAGGTCGGAGGCAGTGCGGGTTGAGGCTTGTGTTCGGGTTCAGGCAGGGTCAGGCAGGTAGGTGTGGGTTAAAGTACTGTAGAGCAAGTGGAGGCACCAGGGTAGACAGAGGGCACCGGCTGCAATAATCGTTACTTCCTGATCCTACGGGCTTGCTACGTACTACAGGGCCTCCCGCTTTATTTTTTGTTGCTTGTTACCTCCCAATACAGGTGCACCTCACACTGCCCTTAGCGACCCACTAGTCTCACTACCACATGTGCCGACCCCTCTTTGAAAACCTCGTTTTTCTCTCACAACGCAGAGAGGGGGCACACAGTTTGCGAGGCTTCAGGGTTGAGCGGAAGGTCGTAGGCAGTGCTGTGCAGGGGTAAGGCTTCTGTTCGGGATAAGGCAGGGAAAAAGGCTGGGGGTACAGGCACGAGGCAGGGGCACGCAAGAGTAGGGGTACCCGAGGCACACACTTTGTTCATGTCGTACTCTGCTCTGATTTTTCACGTGTTGCTTGAACAAGCCGGGGAACCCAAACGAAGTTACACCACAGGTGGAGCGGGGGCCCAGCTCTTAAACTGGGTTTCGCTGTTGCTTCCACACTGGGGCATCCGCCCACCACCCTGAACAACAGGGCACCTTTCTTGTACAGCCGAGCCCGTCCACAGAAGATAGTGGATGGGGTAGCGCACTGGCGCGGGGCGGGTAGGAGGGGGCAACATGCTACCACGTGGTGGAACACGCGGGGATCTTGGAGAACCGGGGGCTCATCCGGGACCAGCTGAAGGAGGACCAGCAGATTCGCTGACCGAGCGCCTCCCTCTAAAGAGCAGCGGGGAGTAGACTGCATGAAAGGCACAAGATGCTCTCGGAGGACAACCCCTTTTTTCCGACAAGCCTACCTTTTGCAGGAACTCGTCTTCGGCCTGAAGCCGACGTCTCAAACTTTCCGAGCTCCACCTCAGTCAGACAAAAAGAGGGCCCAGCAGCAAGCGGGAACTCTGTAATTAGTGCCGAGGGACCTTTCTTTTACCCCTTTCCTTCAACAACAAAGTGGTGTGCCACAGCTGGCGGGGCCAAAAATTAGAGCATGTTTTTTTCTCCCGAGGCACCCGCTTTTCTAAGCCCGGAATGGGCACCAGCTCAACCTCTTCGTACAGCCAAGCCCATCCACACAAACGGGGGAGGAGCCCTCGCCGACAATGGCGGACGCAACACAAAGCCAAGCGGCAGAGCCGGCGCTCCAGCTGTCAAATCTTGAAGAAGTTCCTGATTTGGGGGAGGCTTCGCACTCCACCATACTCCAACCCTTCTGGACAGCGACGATGAGACGGCGGGCTGGCGCAACAATCTCGCCCAACCACAGACGCGTGAACTGCTCGCAGAAGATGATGAAGTCCTTGTGGGGGGAGGCCAGGCCAGCAGCCAAAATGGCCTCGTGATGCATCAATCACAGCAGCCTTCGGGGACATGACTGCTGACGACTTGAAGACAGCGTGGGGGACCACGCATGACGATGGAGACAAGAAGGACATCGCCAAGACAGCTGAAGTGACGGTATAGGAAGATACAATGGTTCAATACGTGATCACAAAAATGGAGAAGATGTGGGCGAGGCCTCTGTTCACGTCGAGCTCGACATTCCCCTCCACAAACAGTCCGCGGAAGCATGGGCACAAGGACGTAAGAAACCCCTGCGGAGATCCTCACCTTGACCAGCGACAGCAAGTCACATCAGACAAGATCAAGCAAGGACCTTGCAGGTCAAGCCACCGGGGGGACAGAGACGAATGGGACTCTGCTCCGGCTCGGCGTAAGGCACCAACACATCGCCTACATCGTCGTCGCAGCTCGTTCTGAACCTAGCCCGCCAAGCCGATGTCGACACGAGGGGGAAGCAGCCCTCCGAACCTCGAGCCGACGTCAGGGGAGCCAAGCGCCTTCCCAGCAGGGCCAAGACCAGAGAAGCCACCACTGCAATGCCGCCGCCGTGAAAGACCAACTGAGGGGATGGCAAGCCCGTAGAGTGTGACCGAAGTTTTCACCCAGCCAGCTGCTAAAGCATGCTCGAGTTTCCAGCTTGCATCAATATGACACGTTTCCATATGTTTCTTCTGAGAACTCCAACGCAACAAGTCCCTAACGAATTCGTTTCAAATCGGGGTGCAGTTGCCTGCACCAGCTAATGTTTTATCATCCTTCCAGTATAGTCTGTCGTTTCTTGGTGAAGAACGTACCCCACTGATTGGTTGTACGGCGTACTGCTCACTGGTACCATGGGAGGGGGCTTCAGCCACAAACACTGGCCGAGGCATAAACTGATGGTACTTGCATGGGGAGGTAGCACAACAAGGAGGCACCACTTTTAGTGTTACATCTCATCACTGACAGTTTGTTGTTGCCGTTGTCAGCGTCCATGCTACCGCCACCTTATTGTAGTTGGGGGGAGCCGGTTGCCGTAGGCGCTTGAAATGGCGCGAAGCTCGCAAACAGTTTAGTTTCGTCGTTGACACTCCGAGCCGGCTACAAAAACATTTTGATGTGTTTCAGTGCACTTCCTGCAGACGAAGAGGGCGGTTGGTATGTTGAGTTGGGGATGTTGGGGTTGTTTGAGTGCGGGTCTGCCTTGCTGCTTCTCTACCTGGTACACACCGATTTGAACTCCCAGCAGCGGGGATTGCACGCGCGTCTTGTACCTCAAACGTTGGGGACATGCTGCACAACACGATCTACTTGCCTTTCGCCACGGGAGAATGGAAGTGGCTCCCCTGATTCGTAAGACCATATGGATCCACATGGTAAGACTTGCAAATCAGCTTCTTCGTTTTCATAAGACTTGTATTGTTAGTCTGCCTCGGCAGATGTCAGCGCCGTTCAAGCCTTTTTCAGGCGCAGTTGGCGACTTGCAAACGCCCGAGACAAGAACTTTTTGAAGCCTTGCGGGGCATCTCAGTTTCCGCCCACGTCTACAGACTCTCGTTTCTGCAATTCGCATCCAAACTTGCATTACTCTTGTTTTTTGCCGCCCGCGAGAAAACTGTGCGTGAGGACCAATATCGCGCTTATTAAGGCCGTAGCCTGTTCCTCTACAGTCTTTCGAGGCTGACTCCAACACGGGTGGATCGGTACAGCGGATTTCACCGTCCCCTTTGCCAGGGGCAGAGAGAGGGAGAGAGGCAGGGGAGGATACCCGACAGGCAGACACTACCAGCGAAACCGACCAACAGGAGAAAAATTCCCTTGCAACTCTGCCCCAAAAGCCTCTTTCCCACCAAACACTGGGGGAAAGGGGGCGCCTTGGCGCGGGCTCCTGGAGCCTGACCCCTGTGAAGCGAAGCGAAGCGAAGGCAGGGGAGGGAGAGACAGTCATTTCCTCTGTTTTCTTCAGAGCGGTTAGTCACAGCCAGTTTCGTTTCCATCAGATATGGGGGGTGTCACCCCTCCACTCCGAAACCCTGCGAAAGAAAGAAAGGGAGAGACGACGGGAAAGAGAGGACTCGCCGCCCGCAAGCAAGGCAGAGTCAGAGAAGCACCGATGCAGGTGAGTGTTGCCGCCTGCGCCGTCATGTGAGTCGTGTCTTACACGTTTTCGAATTGTGGGGGATGCTGCGCCTTTCACAAAGAGCTCAGCTTAATCGCCTCACGTTGTTATCGACGTCATTAGCACACTCCTGTCCCTCTGTACAGGCCAAAGCTGCGTTAGGTTTATTTTGCCTACCCGCGAGTAGAGAGAGAGAGAGAGAGAGAGCAGGGGGAACTTCAAGCGCTGCACGTGTACAACGAAAATGTACGCTCCTAGCGATTTCTTTATCGTGTACTTTATGGCTCTAGCCAATGCTGGGATCTACATCTGCCTTTCACCCCCGAAATTGCCCGATAACACATCGGGTGGGCAAGATGCCCGGGGGTCCTAACCGACCCTCATGCCCGAGAGAGAGAGACAGAGAGAGACAGACTCGGGTTTTTGTGTTCACGACCCGCGCAAGCAAAGGACCGAATCGCCTTTGGAGTTTCATTTGGCTCTTTCCATGGATGGGGGCCGGGGCCTCCCAGAATTTCAAGTCATCGTAGCTGGTTTGGACATGTCGCTTTGCTTCGCAAATGCCTTTGCCTTGTAGGCCTTGCCACCCACTGGAGATGGGATGAAGTTTGCGACCATCTCACGCCTCCAAATTTAGCGATGCGCGAAAAATGCACCTGGGCTTGATCAGGGCTGGAGATGCCGAGCTCTCAGCACCGGCTTGCCAAGGTCCTCGATGAGTTGATGCCGAGTGTAACCTAATGAGCTCGCAAGAGACCTGATGTTTGACGACATCGGCTTGCTGCAAAGCCTGCGGACCCAACACGCAGCATCCTTCAGCACTGTGCCTGAAAGTTGCAGCTTGTAGTGTTTCACATCTGCACATTTGGCACAGCATTCGGCACAGTGCTTGTCGAAAGCCTGCGTTGAATGTACGCGGCAAAAGGCCAAAGTTATGGGCGAAGCATTGGCAATTTGCAAGCTTCACCGTTCTGTCGTGCAGCATGCTCAGGACAAGATGCTTTTCTTGGCAGTTGTGTCGCACGAGGCCAGTACTGCAGCGGGACGAGTGTTGTTTTCAAGAATACTGCTCCTATCTTGTGTGGTATGCTTCGCGCAGTTTTGAGAGGAGCCGCCGCTGGCTGTTTTCGAGCTGCTGGATAGAGTTTACCAGGCCTCACACGGCCCACAGCCTCTGCAAACGCAAGCCTAATCAAGCTCGAGGTACTCTTCAGATACCTGGGGGAGGTCAGTGAAGATGCGCTGCGACAAAACTTCTCGACAGTGTGGCTTGAATGATAGCCCTGTTTGTAGCCAGCGAGAGGCTACTGGCACGAAGCCCACAATGCGGTGAAGTTATTGTTCCACATCTGAGATACTTGCTGCTGGATGAGATGATCGACAGCGGCCTGCCTTTCACCACAGAACTGAACAGCCTTGAGGCCATGACGGGGGAATGTGGATGAATGTTGACATGAATCGCATCTTGTGCTCTGAGTCCATAATCGCCCCTCCATCCGCGATCGGAAAGGTGGTCCAGGCAGGCTGTTTGCGATTGTTTGGCAGAGAGTTTAGGCTTGATTCGTCCTGAGAGTGCTGAGCAGGCGGTCTCCGGCAGCAGCACACAGGTGCTGTCAGATGTGCCCCTGGAGTCTTCTGGCCAGGCCGGGAATGCCAGGTTCAGTGAGTTTCGAAGCCGTTGGTTCGGCAGAGGCTGGGCCTCTTGGCGCTCTTTCGTCGGCTTTCGGGTCCCTCTCGTCACTTGGACACTCTTCGTTCTGCGGTGAAGAGCCGGATTTGCTGCGGTCTGAGGCATACGCAAATCGGAGGTGCCTCTGCCGAGGTGGCTGGCCAAGCCTGAGGATGTGTAGAGTCTTGAGTCTCGGGCATGCTTCGAGACCCAGCCGAAAGTTCGTCCTGTGTTTGGCATCGGCATGAAGGTGTGGTGGCGAAAGCAGAACGTTGCATATGGCTCGAACGAGGCCGTGGCTCTAAAATGCCACAAGCTGCATGCACGAAGTTGACGGTGTGCGTCATGATGCGGCATGATCAGGTTTACGTAGACATCGTAGAGACGATCAGCTGTACATGCAATGGAAGCGGCCATATTGCGCGTGGCCTACATTATGTGCAAATGCATCTGCATATTATCTCGCGGCGTCTCTACGGTTGATCATGTTGCAGGTCTCTGGTGGCATCAGCGGGGAAGTCTTGATGACGAGCAAGCTGAGTGGAATCCCTGAGGCCTGGCACTTGTACACTCCGCGGCCTGCACCGTTGGTCACAATGCGCGATCGGTTCAGGTGTTGCTCAGCTTACGCAACCCAAGCATCTTGCAGAATGTTTCATTTCATCCCTGCGCCACGGGCTAAGACTTAAAGTCAGGGCTTGGAAAGTGCTGCGAGTTTGGATTGGTTGCAGGTCAAGCTCCCTCGCTACCATAGGGACAAGGCTCTCGCATGCCGAGTCAGCCACAAATGTCCAGGCTGTCTGGGCCTTCGTGAGCTCAAGACCTTGCACAGGTGCTATCCTTCATTCCTCCGGATGGGGAGTTCTCACTGGCCAATGTGCCTCGGAATGCAAAGGAGAGTGATGTGCTGGGGATGCGCAGCATGAGTGTGCTCGGCCTGTGCAGTATTGGATTCCTGACATCACCATGAACTTGCCGTTCCACTTCTCGGTCTCTGTGAACTACCACTCTGATCACGGGAAAGTGCAGGCAGAGTCTCGCGCATCTGCCAGCTGTTCAGATCCAAGCGCCAGTGCTGAGAATCGTAGATTGCCGACTCTGGCTCTGGGCGTGCGTGTCAGACTGTCATACCTGTGAGCTGTCCTTCGGGAGTGCTGTTTGGTGGTTGGGATCCTAGCGGCTCCTTTCTAGGGTTACAGAAATCGCATGTCATTGAATTTGTTATTGCTAAGGCTGCCAGCCCTTAAGCTGTTGAGGCAGCAGCATATCTCACTTCCACTGAACTGAGAGCCTTCGCAATGCCATTGAAATGCTTGCGTTAATGTAATCGAGGGCACCTCAAGACACGACATCGGGAAAGCACCATGCACAACAAAAACACCCGACCACTGACCATAGAATGTATAAAAAACAGTGCGGAAGGGAGGGTGCAGCCCGGTCCGCCGCCCGAGAAGTGATCGGTCGAGTGGTGCAGCGCAGTGGAAACGTGCTGCTGCTTGTCCGGCAGATTGCAGCAAGCCCCAAGCTTGCCGTGACCATGCAGCACAAGCAGATGCTCATCGACAAGTGATCCGCCTAGCCTTCGTGAGTGAAGATCGGGAAACTCTGCATACTGAGTGGAGTAGCATCGAGGTTTGTTGTAAATGTTCGTCTTCCTGCAAGTATCGCGTCTGCGAACCTCGTTGGGGCCTCATGGCTGTGCCGATGCCAGTGTCAGCGGAGCGATCTCGGATGTGTCATCCCAATCATCCTCAAGGTTCCTGTCGCTAAGGCATGCCAGGGAGGTAGCGTCCGCTTTGACGAAGAGTCGAAGGCTTCGGAAGCTCTGCACAGCCGAGTCCACTGACCGCTAGCTTGTAGTGGCGTTGCACCGGCCCACCTGCAGGTCATTGTTTGGAACCTGGGCAAGCTGGCCAGTCAGGCCACTTGACATTTTTGAAGGCGCCACTGTGCCACTCTGGATGGTATCGTGCAATCAGGAAAGCAAAGCAGAGGGCACGCTGACATATGCCACGAACCCAAAGGCCATCGGTCTGATGAATGCTTGCATCAGCGATGGTACATTGAGCTTCGGCAGTTCGGACCAGGATGGTAGTGCGCAAATTCCGTTTGAAGAGAAATCCACAGCGCAGCTGGCCTTGTTCTCAACACACGGAATGGATTGCACGAGAAAGACGAGAATGGCGGAAGCATAGAGTTAATGTGTGCATGGCTGAGGCATTCCAGATCAAGGGGTGGGCAATCTCCGGTTGAAGCCTGAGCTGCGACTCGAAGGCCACTCGCATGAGCGGCAATGGCGCCTGGCTCTATAAGGAGTCCGGCTTGATGCTTGCGATGTCACCGGCATCAACTACACCCCCTACAAAGCATCCAGGCACCAAGTCCTGGCTGTGCGTCCGAATCATGTGCTTGTGAATGATACGCGCGGACAGCAGACCTGCCACATGTATGAATCACGTTGTCGCAGCACCTGCAACAGGAGGTCGGCCACCTGACAACGTCTCATGACAGCCGCTTGTGAGAGAGAACTGACCAGCAAATATCTACATTCGTCTCTGACAAGCACTCGAACTTGGCGCATCTCTCCGTTAGCCTCAGTTGTAAATTGCAGCAAAATACGTGTGTGAGTCCAAATGGGTGGGTGAGCCAACATGTTTCATGACGACAGACCTGCTCTGGCACAGGTACACAACCACTGCTGGCAAGATCGAGTATCGGAGACTGAGCTGCAGGATTTGACAGAGGTGCAGCATCAGAGTAGCTCGCAGATCCAAGGATCGCCTGACACAGCGCGCTGCCGGAGCAGCTCCGAAAAGTGGCCTCGTTCCACAAAAACAGCCGGCGCACATGTCAAAATATTACTACTAGTTAAAGTGGTCGGATGCAGATGTCTCTCTAACAAGTGTCGAAACATGTCCGAACGAGTTCTGGCACAACATGGAGCCGCGATCCGATCCCGCATGCGCAGACATTGCAATGACCAGGGGTGTCACGCCGACTCCAGCCCAGCCCACAAAGCATACCGTACCATACCGTACCATCTTCAGCCCAGGCAGGTAAGCGAAACAACAAACAGACACCATCTCCGTCCCGGGAGACTTTGCGAGCCGACATGCGCACAGTCCTCACAGCAGCAGCTGAGGCAGGCAATGCTGTTGAAGTAGAAGTTGTAGGCTGAGGTACAGGGAATGTCCCCATGTACCCGTATTATATGTATTGTTGGTTTGCTCATGTGTTCTCGAAGGTGCTGCTGTGGCCGTTTGGCATCCGGCGAAGAAGCGGAAAACGCGGAGACAGCCACTCACCTTGTATCCATATCGCCGGAACGACAAGTCTTGGTAGGTCTCAGGTGTGTTTCGGCATGCTTGTAGTTTTCTTGCCGACGGTTCCAGATCGCAGGTGAGCAAGATGGAGATGGCGGCGACTGGGAAGTGGTCAGCTACTCGAAATCTGGTGTTCAAGCGGCGATCTGCAGTAACTCAATGACCCGAGGATCCGGCGCAATTCGTTGCTGCCCTTTCTGGTGCCAGCCTGGCCTACTGGGCATGGGGAAGGCATTCGCTGCGAAGCTTTGAACTTGGGTTCCCAAATTGTATTGCAGAGGATGCGCTCCCAAGCATCGCTACAAGCCACTCCCAGACAGCAGCTCAGTGTTTGGGGCTTCTCGAAACACACCAAAAAACAGCTGGTTCAGGTCTAGAGGCTGCACCGCCTCCAGTGTACCAATCTCAGCGTTCTCAGCGTGTTTGGGGCTCGAGCTTCAGAGTGGAGCTGCAAACTTGTGCAGGACACGAATTCCCCTTTCAGAGTTTCTATCGTTGCTGCGAGATGGGGCAGTTACGGACACACCGGCGTCGCTTACAGGCGCTTAGTGTTGACATCCCCAGCTCAAAAGCTGCCAGGCGGTCAGCTACCTTGCAGACCGCCCGCCGGCAGGTGCTCTGCTCTTGAAGGTGCAATGCTGCAGCTGCCACCTGCATGGACTTAGCAGGCATATTAGCAAATCAGTAGATACAACCGATCTGTACACATAGACGGAATATATAGGTAAATAGACAGATTAGATTGGAGTTAGAGTGCGAGAATGCAAGCGTTCCGGCATTCCCCCTGCATTGCGCAGGCGGCAGTTCCGACTCTGACAACCATGGCCAGCCAGTCAGGCCTGCCGCAGAGCCTAACAGGCTTAACATGTGCAATCTTGCGCACAGTTTGTACGACAGGAAAATCTGCACTGTCTCCCTTGCCGGTGGAGAAATCCATGGAAACCCTTCTTCTGCTCCTTGCCCGCTCACGTCGTGTCAATTTGCAAGCGAATTTGCTGTTAGCAACACCAAGGCCAGGCAGCCACCAGGGTGTCTTTGAGGACTATGCATGCGATTCAATCTTCGTCCGATGCATTCAAGCCAGGCTAATCTTCAGTGTTGAACGCTCATCTGGAGGTGCAGAGCATTCGTGGCCCCGCAGCTTTTTGGTTCATGGGATGGACTCCGGTGCGACTACAGATCGTGTACAAAATCCAAGTGGCAGCGTTGTTGTTCCAACACGTGTTGTTGTTCCAACACGTCGAGACATCGAGATCGCATGCAGATCGGTTTTCACAGTGCAGCTGTTCAGTGTTGCAAGTGCTCATCGATGTGCCAAAGCGCAATCAATGGCCTGCTGCGCCTGCTAGGACGTAATCCTGTTATGTTGCTCGGTCTTCGCGAAATTAAATGAAGATTGAACAGGAGTGGTGCAAAGGGAAGACTTCTTGGATGATGGCAAAGCCGCTTGGCCGCTCACTGTGGCAGAGGAGTTCACCTCTTCTGCTGCGCATCCCGCATCGCCTGTCAGGTTCCTGAAGTCTTCCGGCAGCGCTATGCCACTGGACTCGTTGAGTCGCCACTGTCTTTCTGGACCGCAGACAGAGCACTGAGGCCCCGTGTCCCGAGTCGCAGCCGCTGCCCCTCCTGCTTCAGCAAGTGCTAGAGGACGTTCGGATGCACATAGAGCTGAGCATGTTGGAGCAATGTAGCTTCAAAGGAGACTTACACAGAGAGGACACCACGCCACCAGAGGAACCAAAGGCTGAGACTTCATGTCCTTCGAGTTTGTCTGGAGTGGTCCTGTGGTCTGCCGTGGCGGGAGGCATATTTCCGTCCTCGGAGGACCTTCACGCTCTGAACGATGCATCTGAGCAAAGTCGCTTGAACCGCGAGGAAGTTTCCTTTGCATTTCCTCCACGGCACCCTCCAGTCTTCGGGTTCGGCCGGGAGCTGCAAAGGAACTTATTGACATCTTTACTTCGTGCAGCCTCCAGGCTTGAGCCAAGCCGTCTACTGTTTTCACGCGGGGGACTCACATTCTGGCCTTGCATGATGCAGCGCATATCACCCTTTTTTGTACATCGGTATTGCGCAGGCAGATGACAAGGCCCGTGTGGCTTCCCGTCACCTTCAAGGAGATTCGCTTGCACCTGAAACTCGGACTGAGGATGTGATCCAAAAAGTGTTCGTTCACTGGTCTCTGGACACGACGCTGGAGGGGCCACCAGGACATTGTTGCTCGAATAGGTCTTGCTTCTGCCTGAAATCCACAATCTCTAGACAGCAGGCTGCTGTCATGGTGGGTGTTCTGCGGCTCTGATCGATGATGCGCGCCTTGATGGCATCATGCCGGACAGAGATAAGCGGATGTTGGAACTCTTGGTCAATGCCGAAAGCATGTCAGGGTAGCAGAGTCCAGATGCCGCGAGGTTTGGAGCGTTCGCGAACACGTACTTACGGAGCCTGGGACGCAGCGGACGGGCGGCAACAGCGAGCCTTGGCTGGGAAGTGCTGCGTCTAGCAAAACATCTCGCAGACACCCGCGGAAAAGCAGGATCTGTTGCAGCATGTTGCAGCTGGCGCAAGGTATCTTCATGTGGACTACAAGGCCACGAGAGAAAAAGATGTCCAGACATGCAACTGCTTGGCAACCGGGCCTGGGCGATGGAAGCTGAGCCTTTGCTACTCTGCTATATAATTGCTGTTTCAATTGGTGTGTCAGGCGATGACACCGCTGCCTTCGCAAGTTGCTGCTTGGCCTCCCTTTTTCCGACTGAACACGTCGTCGCATGTCAGACTGGGTGTCAAAGATCTGAGGTGTGCATCGTGCCTCGGATGCATCCGGGGGCCTTAGCTTGCGTGATGCGAGGGCAATGGACCAATGGAGCAGGTGACGCTGGACCGTGCAGAGGGTCGCAAAATCTTCTTAAAAGGCCGGTAGGAGCCAAGCTTTCGACAGGCCCAAACTTGCCTCTGTGTCAAGGCCGCATGGTGGAAGCCTCGGCCTCACTGCAGACAACTTGCGAAGCATCGGCTCTTTTTGTGGAGCTCAAGGCCGGTACAAGTAACAGTTCTCTCCTTAGCCTTCCACTTTGCCGTTCTCTCTGCAGGACAAGACGAGCCCCACGGACAGCCGCGCATCGACGTGAAACGCAAGGGACAAAACATAACCGGGCCAACCGGGTGCGTGCCAGCATATGGCATATTGCAACTTCAAGCGTGTATTGCATGAAATTTGGACAACTTGCCGAAAATGGCCGCGCCACCTGTCGGTGATCAGAAGTGGAGATTGGTGTTTCGTGCAGAGAACGTAGTGTTGGTCCTGAAGGAGCTCCGATCACGCTCTGACGTGCAGTTCGAGTGTCGAGAAGTGGCAGCAGGATCTGACTCTGAGATCAACAGGCTTGAGATCGCTGGCTAGAGTACATGATGGAGCATGATTTTGTCGCTGTGGCGAGGGATCTCCTCAAGCTTTGAGCTCTTGTCGTGACGTGTTCGTTGTGGAATACAACGGAAGTGTACGGAGGCTCTCGCTGTTGATCGATCTTGGTGGACTTGTGGCTTCCTTGGGCGCTTTGTGGTGCGCTCCTGCTGGATTCGCAATTGTGGAATTCCTTCCGGTTACAACGCGGTGGAGGTATCTTTTCAGAAGCAATGGCCAGACTTTCGCGGCCAAGCATCTTGAGGCTTGAGGTGTGTAGAAGCTCGTGCCTCGTGCTCCCAGCCCTTTGTCAGAATTTGCAGGAAAACCGCGACTTCAATCGCCGACCTGCGGTAACGTTTGATGACGTGGCAGGCCGGCCGGGCTTGATGCTCCAGCAGCCTGCCAGGATCTGTGTAGACTGGAAGCCTTGCGAAGGAATGGAGAACACGAAGGAAGAGTTGCGTGTCTCTCAACTCTGGCAAGAAAGTACAAGGGAACTGGCCCTTGTGGTTGTTGGTGTTGCACCGAGGCAAGAGGTCATTGCGTATTTGCGTTCGCCTCGCAGCGTCAGACGACCACCCCACACACTGTGACACTGTGCTGTGAAGCCAGGTGATCCGAACAGATTCTATGCTTTAGGTTCTTGCCCCAGCAGGAACCGCAGACCATCGATCCAACGACAGACCGCAATGACAGCCAAGGAGCACGGCCACCCCGTGGCATCCTTCTGGCTGGTCCTAGTGGCACTGGAAAGACGCCGGTGCCCCAGAAAGGTTCAACACTGCCCGTGACGCTTCTTCTGCTAACTCGGCTCCAGTCCTCAGGCTTATGGCTCGTGCGGTTGCTGGCGAGGCACGAAACATGCAATGCCGTGGCCATGGAAGAGCTCCCGGGCCTGTGGAAAGAGCTGCATCAATGCGGTGACCCAGCCCATCCCAACAGCAATGTGGTACTCCACGGTATTCCTGGGGTGCTGCAGGCTGGTGTTCCCTTTCTTTACGCCAGTTCGGCATCCTTCGTCGAAATTTTTGCCAGGGCCCTGTTTTGCGGAAGCAGTTGTTCATCATCTCCCATGGCGTCTGCTCCATCGTGGATCGGTTCAGTGCACACGCAGCGCCGCAAGACGCCCCCCGCAGCCCACCGTTGCATACTGCCTGCAGTCTCACGAGTTTGCTTTGCCAACTCATCCGAAACTCACAAAGAAGCTTGGAGGGACACAGCTGCGGCAATGAACTGGTTGCAGATCTCGCCACGCACTCCCTTGACACACATCTTGTGCCAGCAGCCCCAAGGCCGCTCATGCACGACTTCTTAGTGGATACAATGACAATGCAAGCTTTTTCGTGAAACCGCTTCGTAGTGCTTCCCTGTTTCGCAGTGTGCCAGCAGCCGCGCTGGCACCGTCCGGCCGCTGTTCCGCCTCAAGTCGACTTGATATTCGATTCGAAGTTGTTGGCTGCTTCGTGAAATTTGTAATTGTACGTACTTCTTGCATCTGAAAGTGCTATGAGCAGGATCAGTCAGTTCCCTATTCATGAGTTCTGACTATGGCAGACACGCTGCTTTGTGAGCATCGTCGCGAAAGAAACGACGGGAAGTCAGCAAAGCAGCTTTCAGGTAGTGCAAAACAGCTGAGTTGGCCTTAGCGGTTGGTCCTAGCCCAGTACCTTGACAAGCAACCCGTGGTCTCCAATCCTCTTTGCCATGTGCTTTGCAGAGGTCGGCCAAGGAGCACAGCGCATCCGACAATTTTTTGATCAGGCACAGGGCACGGATCGGTTCTTTCATGCACGCAATATCCCTCTTGATGCACTGTCAGAAGTATGGCATCCGACGCGATGTTGGACTCCTGCCGGATAAAGATCACGCTTTCCAGGCTCGCGCGTGTGCACCTTGCATCGTCTTCTTGGACGAGCTGGATGCCGTGGGCTACAAGCTTACTGACACAGACTTACACTGTGCAGATCCTCTTCCCGTTGCCCTTTCTCCCTTATACTGAACTCCCCTCGCTCCTGCCTAGCTTCCCGGGCTTTCCTCTCCCCTTCCCTCCACTCCTTTCAATCCCGAGCACTGGTCAACTGCATGTAAGATTTGAACGGCTGGAATTTTCGTTCTTGGATTATCTTGGACTCATTGTGGAAGTGTGGACAATGTTCCCGCGTCTTTTTTGGAGAGCGCAATTCGCTTGTGTCTAGGATCTCGTGATTGCTGCTAATTTTTTGCACAATACAATTGATAGCGTTGATTCGGCGGAATGTTGGCGATTTGTTGTTTAGGTTGGGAGAATTGTGCTTAAATGCCCGACTGAAGCCAGAACCGGGGGCCTGTAGATGACTAGATAACAGTGATCCCGCGGTGCAGATCCGTCACTCTTGCTTGTAGTTTGGCATGCGTTTACAGCGGAGTGCACAAAGGATTGATCAAGTCGTGATGGCTTCGCAGATGGAGATTGTCTGGATATCGGAATGGGGCCGTGATCGTGCACATACTTTGAATTGTCCCCTCCCTGGCTGGCTCTTTCTGTCTCTTTGACTGTTTCCGTGTCTCTCTCTCTCGGTCGTTCTCTCTCTCTCTCTCTCTCTCTATCTCACCCGCTCTCTCGCTGCCTTCTTGTACTCCAACCCTTGCGCCGCGCTCACCTGCACAGTCGCACACTTTAGATTCATGGATACTCTCATTGCTAAGCTAATAAAGTGCGCACTTGTTGTGTTAAAGTGTAGGTGTTCACGCTTGCTTGCAGCATGAGATCGGTCCTGAGGCTCTTCGAGGCAAATGTCTGCCTCCGGCGGTGGTGGAAACCAGGCAACTTCTGGTGCATTGCAATCGACAGGCTTTCGACGGTAAAGCAAGCAGCAATGGGAGATAAAGGCATGACTGGTCTTGGTTTCACCGTGACACATTCGCGAAAGTGCACAGGATAGTTGAGGAAGCTACGACGTACCTGTCGAATCGAACCGGCCCACTGAAGACGACAGTGCGCAGGAGTATGCCCAGACTCTGAACCAGTTGCTTCTGGAGTTGGAGCCTTATGTCGCATTATTTCACTACCGAGTGAAAGAAACTCTGGCCAGTGAATGTATCCGTGTTGAGCCACTCTTCATGCCGGGATCTTGAAGTATGGATCAACCGCCTGGTCTTAGGCTGGACGGTGTTGAAAGCAATATCGCAGGTGCGACTGCAAGTGGGAGCCATTCCGCATCCAGATGTTTGCGTGTGGATCGTGAATATTGTGATTTGCTTGGCTCCAGTGGAAACATCGGGTCATCATCAGCAGCAGCAACAAAACATGGCTACAAACGGCAACGAACCACGCCACAACCTGCACAGAAGCTCGATTTCAAGGCATCGCGAGTTCGGGAGCCTCAGGTAGGCGAGCTTTCAACCACAGCTATGCGACTGGAAACACGGGACGCTAAAATGGAAACCAGCATCTTGAACAACTTCGGCCGTCATGAACCGGAAGCCGCTTGTTGCCAGCGGCTCTGAGGATGCCTGGAGCTTGGGGCACGCAGAAAATTGAGCGAATGTGGCTGTTCCTTGGAGATTCCAATTGCTTTGGAGGTCCGGCCGGGGTCGCCAACCTGGCCAGCGACGTGCCGAGCGGGTTTGGACCTCGGCGCTCGGCAAGGCCTCAGCTCGTCGTCAGAGGCCCATGCTTTCCAGTCCATCATACCTGTCATACCGAAGCAACCCGTATCTGCGGGACTCCGCAGCTTAATGTCGCACTGGCCTTGGTGGAAAAGCCTCCAAACAGAAGCCTCCTCCCGCAGACGCCCCCGAGCCGGGATCGTGGGCAGGGGCAGACGGAGGTTGGGTTTAGGGGTCTGGCTTGGGGCGTGCTGGCCATGTCGAGGGCGAGCTCGCCAGCAATACAGTAATATAGGACAGTACTAGTACAGTAATAGGGCAGAAGTAGTGCAGTACTAGTACAGAAGTAGTTTAGTATAGTAGTAGCAAAGCAGCAGAGCAGTAGTGCAGCAGCAGTACAGTAGTAGTACCGTTGTAAAACCATGTGAGGGTCTACGGGTACCTAGAGCTGTTTAAAAGGGTTGGGGTGCGGCGAAACGTCGAAGCCAAACCTGATCACTCAAGATATCTACCAAGACTAAACCCCTTCATGTTGAAGACTTGTCTTCCTTGATCCACCAGCCCGCTGAAATGAATTGCTCCGGGGTCTTGACATCTTCTTCGCAGTTAAGGTGAGGACAGAGTAAGGCCAGTGCGACATTAACGCGGTTTCAACACAAACATCCTACTGGTATATTATACTATGCAGCACACCAGACACTCAAGCATGTTGCTCACGACGACGCTGCGGTGTGTTTGCTCCTGAACTGAATCATCTTGACGCACTCGTGAGATTTGAGACCGATGACTCGTCGACGTCGCAAGTGTCGGTCTGGCTGTCTGTCGGCATTGATGCAAAATGATGCAGATGCCGAAGTTTGTGCCTATCGGGATAGATCCGATGTATTCGGGAGGACGTTTTGATATGTTGTGCTTATAAGTTTTTTGACCCATGTATGAATCGACGAAGAATCCAGAACATCGAAGCCTTTCACAGTAAAACTGACCGACAACATCACTTTGTTCGACGTCCGCTAGCTGTGAGCTTATACCGAACATGTCTCTTGCAACGTGTACCAGGCTCAACAACTTCTCTAGCAATCGGGTCACAAAACATTCAGGCTTGTGCTGTTTTCTGTTCTTGCTATTGCTACTGTTGCCGTGAAAGGATGCTTGGGATACCTTTTAGCAGCAAGAGGAGAGTGAATTGATGTGCCTTGAATCCATTCTACCCTATACTTTAGAATCTGCGGCTGCTAACGCTACGACGACCCCGACGACGAGGGCAACCACGACCACCATCGACACCATCACCAGTGGCAGTATCACCACCACCACCACCACCACCACCACCGCCGCCACCGTCACGACTGCCACTGCTGCCACTGCTGCTGCTGCTGCTGCGGCTGCTGCGTACTACTACTACCACTACTACTACTACTACTACTACTACTACTACTACTACTACTACTACTACTACTACTACTACTACACAATTACTGCTACCACCATTACTGCTGCCACTAGGTACAACTACCCCTGCTGCAAGATGCCGAGGTACACAAGCACAATTTCGGAGGAAGCCTTCAAGCCGTGTAAAGTTTAAAACGAGTGCCAAGCGACACCCCCCTTGCGGTGCGACCTAATTAGGCCAGAAACTCGAGTTCTGCTGGTTACTCGCTTGTGCTTATCTCCTTGTTGCTCAGTGTTATGACAAGAGTACGGAGGAAGGGATGAGGAAGGGAAAACAAAGACGACACGCAGAGATGTGAATGCCTTGGTGCGAGCAGAATGATGTTGTCCTTGGCAGCCATCGGAAGTATTGTCTAGACGGGCGCAGGGGCAGATGCACACAAACACACACATACATAATATATATATATATATATATACACACACACACACGCACACACGCGCACACACACCGGCACACCCGCAAACAAGACACACAAACAGAGAAAACAACAAAAAGCAAACATAACACACACACACACACACTCACACAGGCACGCCTTCCTGCGCCCACCAACCCATCCATCCACGCACCCATGCGAACACACACACACACACACACACACTCGTGCAATCCTCCCTCTGGACTGGTAGTGATTGTCGGAACTCAGTCTTTCAACATAGAGGTAACGGATTTCAAGCCACTAGGCAGTAACATCATACACACTTATTGGGGTTCTCGGCTTAGCCCCGAGCCATAATAACAATTGCAGAAAACACTGGCAGGTACGCTGGGTTGATCAGACCCAGTATCAGCCGTGGCATAGCCCTCTTCGTTGGACAACCAGCTATGCTCACGGGGTTGCCCCCCTGCAAAAAAATATATTGCATGTCAGCAAACCTTATCAAACAGGTGTTCCACACACACACACACACCCCGCGAACGGGGTAGCCACATGTGGCAGATACAATGCTGAAATCTGTGCGTATTTTCTGCACACGGTGCAGAAGCTCAATTAGATAGTGAAAAGGAGCATTGCTTAGCATCCCAATAATTGGGTATGCACTTGACATGCTGTTAATGAATGTGGCCAGCGAGAAGACTGGCAAACCTAAATACATGCATAATCTCGGCTTTCATGGAGAGACATCTCGCCGTCTTTTTCGAGGCGATTGGGAACTGGAAGGCTTGTTCTCAGAAATGGTAGTCGTCTCTGTGGTTCCGGGGCTTTGGTTCCAAAGCTTATCTGCAGCAAGACGACTCTGGATCCACTGCTGTGTAGCAGGGAACCACGGTTTCCACCAACGGTCGTGACCATCTGCTGCAGTATTTTTGGACCAATAAAAGCGCCACGAAATCTGAGGGGACCTGGATCTGCTCCGTTCCCACCCAAAAAACCTTATTCTCGACCTAAATGGCTGAAAGCCGCAAACTGATGAAACACGTGGGCTCCATTCAAGGCACAACACAAAGAAACGAACGGAAATTGCAGTGCTATTTTGGCTTCGCCTGGCATCTGCTCAAAGTTGGCTTCACGGGTTGGTGGGCCCGAACTCATCCTGGATGAGTTTAACAGGGCAAAGATGCTTCAAAACATAGTGGCAGGAGCACCTGTAGCCACTGCGAGCCTGCATTTTAGCAGCTGCTTTGCCACGAAACTAATATGGTTGTGGCACGGTGGCATGCGACTTGACAAAACCCGGTAGGGGGTATGCCACTTCCAGAATAGGATCGAAGAAAATTGGAGCATCCGAAGTCTTTGGTTTAGCTTCAGTTGAAGCTTTGGAAGTCTTTTTGGACATCTTTTTCTTCTTCTTCTTTGTGCCATCATCGTCCTTAGGACGTTTCTTGTGGCTTTTCAAAGCTTCTGGCTCAGATGTAACATCAAAGGCAGAATGCCACGAAGAAGTCGACGAAACAGGCGAAAGTCCTCGCTGGGCTTTAGGCTGATCCATGGCTAAAGCAAAAGAAAAAGCAGC